GATGCAGTTTCTTCCTAGCATTGATGGACTTTACATTTTGACATGTTTTTGCAATGGCTGGTACCTGTTGTTCCTTTCCACGTTTAGTGCTTCCTTCAGGATCTCTTGTAGCGCAGGCCTGGTGGTGACAAAATCTCTAAGCATTTGCTTGTCTGTAAAGGATTTTATTTCTCCTTCACTTGTGAAACTTAGTTTGGCTGGATATGAAATTCTGGGTTGAAAATTCTTTACTTTAAGAATGTTGAATATTGGCCCCCACTCTCTTCTGGCTTGGAGAGTTTCTGCCGAGAGATCTGCTGTTAGTCTGATTGGTTTCCCTTTGTGTGTAACCCTTCGTGTGCAGCCTCAGCCTCCCAAAGTGCTGGGATTTATTAAAGTCTTTTTATTTCCCTTGAATTAATCAGTTAAGGATTGGGATGGTATGTTCTAGTCTCCATAACAAATGTATTTTTCTGACCTCTCCCCACACTACCAGAAGCTTTCAATGCTCTGGAATTTGATGATTGACAGTTTGCACCTACTATATTTTCACTATAGGTGTATTTTTTAGTAACATAAAATTATTGCCTTTATTCCATTTTAATGCTTCTCTCCTTAAATTCTCTTTTCTCTGAAATTGATATTGTAAGCACCAGTATTACAGGGTTTGTATGATATACCTCTGATTGTTCTTTAACTTTTACCTTTTAAGTAATCTAGAAAAATTTCATTTCTATTTCTATAAATGTATATATGGGCATAGTGTATAAATGTATGCAAATGAATTGGCATATATAAATGTATATGCAAATATAAATGTATATACATACATAGATATATACATACATGTATTTATTATCTACATATGTAAACTACATATATCTTTGTAGTATATAATTCTATCTTCATTTCATAGTCCTATATATTCTAACATTTTTAAGAGTTTCAGTTTTTAACTCAACCTTTTGGTTTTTTTGGTTTTTTTTTTTTTGAGACAGAGTCTCGCTTAGTCGCCCAGGCTGGAGTGCAATGGCGCGATCTCGGCTCACTGCAAGCTCCGCCTCCCGGGTTCACGCCATTCTCCTGCCTCAGCCTCCCGAGTAGCTGGGACTACAGGCGCCCGCCGCCTCGCCCGGCTAATTTTTTGCATTTTTAGTAGAGACGGGGTTTCACCTTGTTAGCCAGGATGGTCTCGATCTCCTGACCTCGTGATCCGCCCGCCTCGGCCTCCCAAAGTGCTGGGATTACAGGCGTGAGCCACCACGCCTGGCCAACTCAACCTTTTAAACTCTTCTGGTATTTGTGAATGTTTATCTTACTGGGATTAGCCTTTTTCTTTAATGTTAAGTCTTATCTAAGATATTTTTGGACTGTTAGCTTTACAGGCATTTTATTTTCCTTTTCCTTATAATTAAAAGATATCATGATAGGTACAAATGGGAATGGCAGAAAGACTTCAAAAACAGGAGAAGATGGACAACTTCTACAGGCATCCACCTATCTCTTCTTCAGTGAGTTTTCTAGTCCACTTACCTCCAAAAACCATCCTGGGAGTCAAAATCCCCAGGAATCATAACCATGCTATACTTGGGCACAACTGAATGATACACCTGATTTCTCTTATTACTCAGCCTGTATAAGAAACTACGTTTTCAAATCTATGGTCAGTTCCTTTCAGGTTAAGCAAATTCAGACTACCACCTGGCACCTTATTCAATTTAAAGCTGATTATCAACAAATTTTAAGCTGCCTTAAATGTTATATGTATCACTCTGCTTTTCTCTAGATTCCATTATTAAGCCTCTGATATGAAAACACGAGATACAAAGTCCCTAGGGATTTTCTGTACCCCAAACTGTTTAAAAGCTCTCTCTCTGGTAAGCTCTAATCTTTGCTCTCTTGTTTACTTTTATCAATTTGAGGATTAGTCTGAAGGTAGAGTTCTCTCAACTTTTTAAGCATCCATTGTTTACATCTCTTTACAAAGTTAGTGGTTTACAAGACTAGATAGTTTACTTGATTAATGACAAACCTGAGCTTCTCAGGTTCCTCTACAAGCAGCAAAGCAGGTTCTTAGGTACAACTCTTCTGTGGGTGACCACAGTTCCTCACTGACAAGAAAACTCAAAGCTATTTGAGACTTTGGTTGACACAGTCACAAATTATTTGATTAGATGAAAAAATTAGAATGAAAGTAACATTAGACACACCTGCCTTATTTTGGGATGGAGGTGGGTGGGGTTGGAGGGAAGCTATTGTTGTATGTATCTCCCTGCTTTTCTTTCTCAGTCCCTCAAATACACTAAAACAACTCTGAGCACTATTTAATCTTTATTTGATCATTTAAAAGGATGTTCTGAGATCATGGATCGCTACTATAGGTATACCCAGAATCTGGTGCTAGAGAAAAATAAATGTGTAAGAGTTAGCTAACTGTCACGATGATGAACTAGTAAGGCAAAATGGATGCAAAAATTCAGACTTTTTTTTGTATTTCAAGTCACATAAATTAATAGTAATTAAGTAAATTATGGATGAAACTAAAGTCATGCACACATACATCAGCTGAAAACAACAGGAAAGGACTCAGATTGTTTTTTGTATATTTGCTCAATGTTTTGAGAAGAAGCTAGAATACCAAGTGAATTTTTATATCTATAAAGAAGAAAGAAAACTAAAATGAAGCCTATTGGTAGGTCCATACCATTTTCATACATTCTAGGGGAGAAGGTAGTAAACAAAGTTTCTGCAACCATGAGTGATGCTTAGAGGAAAATTAAGTCACTAAATGATGCCAGGACTGGGCCGGGCGCGGTGGCTCAAGCCTGTAATCCCAGCACTTTGGGAGGCCGAGATGGGCGGATCACGAGGTCAGGAGATCGAGACCATCCTGGCTAACACGGTGAAACCCCGTCTCTACTAAGAAATACAAAAAATAGCCGGGCGAGGTGGCAGCGCCTGTAGTCCCAGCTACTCGGGAGGCTGAGGCCGGAGAATGGCGTGAACCCGGGAGGCGGAGCTTGCAGTGAGCTGAGATCCGGCCACTGCACTCCAGCCTGGGCTACAGAGCGAGACTCCGTCTCAAAAAAAAAAAAAAAAAAAAAAAAAAAAAAAAAAAAAAAATGATGCCAGGACTGATTATTCTACTGAACTTTAAAAGCAAGAGACTGCAGTCTCTGAGTCCAAAGTGGTTTCATATGAACTACCACAGTTGTGGTTTACTCTTGAAACTATAACCTATCAAATTAGAAGCAGGCAAGGCCTATGCTCTTAACGGTTCCACTTTCTACTGTCCCAGTTAAGTTATGTCTACAAGCCCAGTGTATTTTTCTTCAGTTAAACTGTTATTTGGATGAGTAGAATACAAAAGCTACCGTTATGTTGGCCAGAGAAGATTTTTGTTATGGTATAAAGCTTAACGAAGTTGCCAGTCTTATGTTTATTGTACATATGAAGACTTTCACTGTAACTATTTTTATCAACTTCTGATATTTTATTATCCTGGTTACCAGTATGTAATACATAACTATAAAGAAGAAGTGTACAGACTGCATGAGTACCCAAGCTTTTTCTACCCTGCATCTCCAGATATTTTATTGACTTTAGAACCCTGCTGACACCCATTTTTCTAGGTCTACAGTAGCCTGCTATTATAGAGCTACAAAACGTTCCGTTTCTTCTCTTCTTGATTGTGGAATGCCCTTTTAGGAAACAGGTTTGGCTAGCCAAGATTTTCCCATCAAAACTGAAAAGTTAGCTGCTCAATTTTACTAATGCTTTATGTATTATGCTTTATTCCTTAATGAACCTTTCTCAGTGGCCATTTTTATAATATAAAAATATTTAAAAAATAAAGCATAAACAGTATTTGCTCTTTAAGTAATGCATCATAAGTGAAACCATGCCACTAAACAACCATATCCTGTTTGGGCAATGATGACATCAGAAATACATGTTTATCATCTGCTTTGGACAACTTAGCATGTTTTTGGCCCAAGGCAAAGTTGAACTAAAACCATTTGCAGTTGTCCCAAACCAAGATAACCACACATTTCTAAAGTAATTGATACCTAAAAGAACACTGCCTTTAGATCACAGTGCATGATCTAAGCATGCTAATTCTTTAAAGGTTGTTGAAGTTTATAAAGCATATATATCTACTGGACCTCCTCCAAAGCTTAACATAAAATAATTATATTTTCGGCATGCATAGAAACTATAATAAAGTTGGCACTTAGCACAATCTTTCGTAATTCTGAAATTACTTCTCTTGCCCAACTGAAAGAGAAGGGGAAAACGGAGATTCCTTATATGTGAAAGTATGATAATAGCAATATGAACTGTGAAAATACTGTCTTATAATTTGGAAGGCACTGAAATGAAACAAACCATTTTACTTTAATTTTTTCCTTTAGTGTTTAAAGAAATAATAATTTTATGTATAGATAGCTAAGGTAAATAGAAGACATATAATTTTCAAATTAATTGTTAAGACATATCCAGGGAATCCAAATAAATGTCACTAACTTTGTCTTGCAGTGATATAAAGCATGTAATTGGCCTGGGTACTACCCTAGCTAGTAAGTCCAATCACAGTCTGCAACTATAGCCAGAAGAATAGCTCTTCACACTATATATGCCAGCACAAAAGCAATATGAATTAGTTTTGTTTACAAATAAAACTGGATGTTTTGAAACAAAAAAGGTAAATATTTAATTAGAAATGAGCTTAATAAAATAAAATCAGTAAATGTCAGATCTAGAGTAGGGAAACCTACTCATTTTAAAAAAAAGGAAATAAGGAAAGGAAAACAGAAGTCATTTCCCAAAGTTGATGCTGAAGGTAGATCTGACTCCCACTTCAGGGGTGATCATGATCCTCTGCACATCACTACTGTCAGACATAAAACCACTGACTTAGAGATTTCAGACAACATTTAAAGAACATGAGAATAGAACCAAATAGCATAGGCACTGCAGTGGTTGTTTTATTTCTGTAAAAAGGGAAGAATGTACTATACCTCCATTCTTTCTTGTTTAACTTCATCAACTTCGTCATCTTCAAACATTGCTAAAAGTTCTCCTGTCTGGTCAATAGAGTTGAGGAAGTCCTGAGCAATTTTTTGTCTTTTGTTCGTATTATTGCTGCCACTCAATTTGTCTTCATGAAGTCAAGGGAAAGAAAAAACGAAATGTTCTCAATAGGTTTACATTGGCACTAATTATTACATGTATTAAATATAGTATACCAAATTCAGAATTGGAATTCTCTGAAAATAATCTTAAAAAAAATTCTTGCATCTAAAATAAAAGTCATACAGAATTAAATCATTTATTCATGTCACAAATTAGACTGAGAGGATAGAACCAAATGATCAATTACCAAAATAAGTGTGAAAGGGCTAATTAAATCCCTTATAAAAAGCAGAAAGTGGTGTGCTCAGATTTGGAAAAAGAATATTGCTCTACAGTTAAACACCTCTGAAATGAAATGACAATACAAAAAATGATGAGTAAGGATATGCTAGGCAAATACAAGCTAAGAAAGCAGAACTGGTAACATTAACATTAGAAAATACAGTTCAAGACCAAAAACACTAAAGGAGGCAGGGTGAAATAGTATCTAATAATAAAAGGAATTTTAAATAGCCATAAACTTTTATGTACCAAAATAATAGCAAAATGAATAACACAAAGGAAATCTTAATAAAAAGCACAATTACTGTGAGATATCCGAATATATTTTTCAAAATTTGACAACTTAAGGTTACAGAAGATTTAAAAAATATTTATCTCTAAGCACATTAACAACTATATACATATAAGAATCTATATTATTCTCTTAGGTCCTTAGATCATTTTTCTTCATTTTTATCATTTCTTTTAAATTTCTACATCAGAAAGTTTTATAAATATCTATAAATTAAAATATATTAAAATGATACCACATATCATTTTTGCTTGATTGTTCTTTCCCATTTCCTTCCCTTTTATATGATCAAACTCCAACTAAAGATCCTGTAACTCATACTACTACTACCCAATATGTATTCTCCATGCTCATATATCCATAAAAATACATTCATTTATAGAGCTGTTTTATTCATTTATGCTTTTTAGAAAAGGGTTCTTATGATATTCCTTCTATTTCTTTCTTGTCTTGCACTTCATGTTTTTTTGTCAATTACGGAGAAAAATTCCTCCAAGTCAACGGTAAAGCCCTGATTCTTTAATGGTTGTGTAATATTTGACAGTATATACGCACCACAGCTTTCCAGCCAATCCCCTATTGATGGGCATAAACTTTGTTTCAGGTTTTTGCTACCCCGGGGAAATGCTGTAATAAACATCCCATCCATATGGCATTCTGTGTGGTTGGCTTAATGTTTATGGTATAGATTCACAAGGATGGAACTACTGAGTTAAAAGGTACAAACATTTTAATGGAGGTTAAGAGATTGTTTACCAGTGCATTAACCCTTCAAGTTTCCAAGAGTAATGAGGAATGCTTTTCCTCTCCATGAGAAAAGTCTAATAAATGTAAAGTGATATGTCATTGTGATTAAAATATTTAATTTCCCTAATGAATCTAAACATTTTTTTCCCATATGTTTGCCAGCTATCTGAATAAGTCTTTCTGTTAATTGTCTATTTTTATCCTTTGCCCATTTTCAACTGGGTTGTCTTTTTCTTAACAATTTAAAGGGCTCTTTTATATTACCCCTTTGTTATCTGAGTTAAAAATGTTTATCCTAGTCTTTCATTTGCCTATGAATTTTAAAGCATCTTTTGCCATTAAAAAATTTAAAATTTGCCAGGTATAGTGGCTCATGCCTGTAACCCCAGCACTTTGGGAGGCTGAGGCAGGCAGATCACCTGAGGTCAGGAGTTTGAGACCAGCCTGACCAACATGGAGAAACCCCATCTCTACTAAAAATACAAAATTAGCCGGGCGTGGTAGCACATGCCTGTAATCCCAGCTACTCGGGAGGCTGAGGCAGGAGAATTGCTTGAACCCAGGAGACGGAGGCAGCAGTGAGCCGAGATTGCTCCATTGCACTCCAGCCTGGGCAACAAGAGCAAAACTCCATCTCAAAAAATAAATAAATAAATAAATAAAAAATAAATAAATTTCTATATTGTCAAATAAGTTCATCTTTTTTTCTTATAACTTTTGTTTGAGATGACTTCTCTCCACTCACACAGATGGAATGGATCCTATCAGATATCTATTCTTATTTAAATCTGTAAAGGTTCACTTTGTGGCCAATTTTACAATTAAGTTTTGTAAATGTTCTGTAGATATACTGAAAAAAAATTCATAGACATTCTATTCCAGATAAATACAGGTCTAAGCATATCTTGCTATTTTGCTGATTTACTATTTAGTGCTTATGGGTCTATTATGTTAAAAATTGTGTCTTCTATAATTATTCCTCTTTATCCTGTTTTTTTTATTATTATTATTCTCCTTTATCCTTCTATAACACATTCCTCTTTACCCTGTTTGGGCTTTTAATGTTAAATTATAGCTTGCATGATGCTAATATTGCCACTTCTGCTTTCTTTGCATTTGTGTATGCATTTATCTACCATTTATTTGTTCATCCCATTATTTATAATCTTTCTTTATCTTCAAGTTTTATTTTTGTGGTTGTTTATAATCTGTCTCAATGTAAGAATTTAATCCATTTCATAATTAGTGCAATGACCAATATATTTCATTTTTATTATTTTCTCTTGCTTTATGTTTGGTATTTATTTCATATTCTTGTTTTTTCCTTTTCTTCATTTTTAGTGATTTGGCCATGTTGACAGTCCCTCCATGTCTTCTCATTGTTAATTTGAAATCGTAATATACTTTTCTATTTTGTTAATGTTTACCATCCCTTTTTCCATTTTCTTTAATGTTTACCTCGCTCTTTTCTGGTTGGACACATTGCTTGAACATATTTTAAATGACAGTTTCCATTATTATTTAAAACAAGGTAACAATTATACCCCTACCAAGAGGTAACGTTTTCCCAATAAATCAACTTTTTCTTCTAATATTTCCCCCTTTGCAGTATCAAGAGACCTTCAGAACACTTTCATTTTCCCTATCTCAAGTGATCCATCCACTTCAGCCTCCTAAAGTGCTGGGATTACTTATAGGCATGATTTTTAAGTATCTTTTTCAGTGTCTATGGTCCATTAGTCAATCTTCTTTGTAGAAATGTCTATTCAGACCCTTTGCCCATTTTTAAATTGGGTCACCTGTCTTTTTATTGTTGAGTTGTACCTATTCTTGATATATTCTATACAAAAGTACCCTATCAGATATATAAGAAAAATTTTCTCCTATTCTGTGGTTTGTCTTTTCACTTTCTTGATGTTGCTCTTTGAAACATAAAAGTTTTTAAATTGATCAGTTAATTTATTGGTCATTGTTTTGACTCTGAAACAATTGATCAAGTCCAATTTTTCTATTTTTTTTCTTTTGCTGTTTGTGCTTTTGGTGTCATACATTCAGAATGCTTTGCCTCATCCAAAGTCATCAACTTTTATTCCTGTATTTCTTTTTAAGAATTTTATAGGTTTGAGCCCTTATATTTAGGTCTATGATCCATATTGGGTTAACTTTGTGTACTGTGTTGTTGTAGGTGTCCAAATTCTTTCTTTTGTATGTGGATATCCAGTTGCTCCAGCAGTATTTGTCAAAATGGCTATGTTTTCCCTATCAAATTCTCTTGAAATCCTTGTCAATATCGATTGACCCTAAATGCTTATTACTGAACTCTCATTCCACTCCATTTCATTGACGAATATGTCTACCCTTATGCCAGTACTGCTCTATTGTAATTATTGTAGCTTTATGGTAGGTTTTGAAATCAGTAAGCATGAGTCCTCTGACTTTATTCTTTGTTAAGATTGTTCTAGGTATTCTAGTTCCTTCATGACCTAGATAAGTCATTTCCATGTCAGAATCTGGCATTTCTATATGATTGGTAGAATCAGTGTAGTCATGATTTGTAGAATCAGTGTATTCATTTCTACAGAAAAGCAGATGAAATCTGTAGGCCAAGTTGGAGAGTATTAACATTTTGATAATATTCAATGTTCCATTCCATGAACATAGGATGTCTTTCCATTACCATCTAGGCCTTATTTCAACAATATTTTATAGTTTTCAGTACATAAATCTTGTAAGTCTTTAGTAATTTTATTCCAAAATATTTTATTCTTTTTGATGCTATTGTAAATGGCATTGTTTTCTTAATTTCATTTTTGAGCTGTTCATTGTTGATATATTAAAATATGCTTGATTTTTGTATATTTCTCTTCTATCCAGCAAACGCATCAAACCAGTCTATTAGTTGTAATAGTTTTTATTGATTTCTTAGAATTTTCTATACACAAAATTATGTCATCTATAAACAGAGATAGTTTAACTTTTTTTTTTTCTAATCTGGATGCCCTTCACTTCTCTTTCTGACTAAACACCAGGCTAAAACCTTCAGTACAATATTGCATGTAAGGGCATGAATGGACATCTTTGTCTTGTTCCTGATCTTGTAAGGGAAAGCATACAGTCTTTTACCATTAAGTATGATGTTAGGTGTGGGTTTTCCATATATGTCTGTCTTAGCTCAGGCTGCTACAACAAATACATCATAAACTGGGAGGCTTAAACAACAAACATTTCTCACAGTTCTGGAGGTTGGGAAGTCTAAAATCGAGGTGCCAGTAGATTTAGTGTCTGGTGAAGGCCTGCTTCATGACTTACAGATGACCATGACCTTGTTGTATCCACATATGGTGGACAGCAGAAACAGAGGAAACAACCTTTCTTGTGTTGCTTCTCAAAAGTGCCCTAATCAAAAAGATTCCATCCTTATGACCTAATTATTAATACTTCCCACAATTCTCACCTCCAAATACTACCACACTGGGAATTAGGCTTCAACATATATATTTAGAGGGTAAGGAGGGACACAAACATTTAGTCCATGCAATCACCTTTATCAAGTTAAAGAGGTTTCCTTTTCTTCCTAGTTTGTTGAATGTTCCTTTCATTAAAAACTTTTAGAATTTTGTTAAATGCTTTTCTTACATTTATTGAGGTGATCTGTGATTTTTCTCCTTTATTATATTAATCTGATGCATTACATGAATTGTTTTCTACGTTTAAAACAACCTATATCCCTGTGATAAGTCCCATTTGGTCATGGTTTTAATCCTTTCTATATTTGCTGAATTCAGTTTAATGGCATTCTGTTGAGGATTTTTGCATCTGTATTTAAAAAGATACCAATCCGTGTTTTTTTTTCTTGTGATATCTTTGTCTGGTTTTCTTATCAGGCTCAATCTTTATTACCTTTATAGAATTAGTTGGGAAATAATTGGTATTCTTCTTTAAACATTTGGTGGAATTCAACAGTGAAATAACCTGTGACTGAGCTTTCCTCTGTGGAAATTTTTAAGCTACCAATTTAACCTTTGGCTATTGTCCTGTTCAGATATTCCATTCCTTCTTGATTCACTTTCAGTGGTTTGTGTCTTTATAGTAGACCAACTATATATTTATATAGTTTGTTATAATAACCATTTGATTTGCCACTTCTGATTCTTTTCATTTCTTTCTATAACTTGAGGTGCCATTTCCTTACCCCAGTACAGCATTATTACCACTTACATAATTTGTGTTGTTACTGTCAAATATATTATATTTCCAAATGTTACAGACCCAACATCACAATTTTTATATACATATTGTTTTATACAGTTGCTTTATAAATCAGTTTTAAAAAGGAAAGGAAATATACAATTATACTATCTCTTATATTTATGTACTTAATTATCTTTATAAATGTGTGGATTCAAATTATTTGGTGCAGCTTGCTTTTAGCCTTAAAAACTTGTCTTATATGGGTCTGACAGTAAGAAATTTGCCTGGTTTTTGTTTATCTGGGAATGTATTTTGCATTCATTTTTGAAAGATAGTTTTGCTGGATATAAGTTTCTCGGTGGACAGTTTTTTTTCTTTCAGCACTTTGAATATATCATCCTACTGCCTTTTGATCTCTATTGTTGATTAGAAGTCAGCCATCAATATTGTCAGGGTCCCCTTGTATATGCTTTTCTCTTGTGACTTTCATGATTTTTTGTCTGTTTTTGTCTTACCACATTTTTGGTAAAAGTGTCTTAGTATAGATTTCTTTATGTTTATCTTAATTGGAGCTTGTTCATATGCTTGAATTAGTAGACTGGTAGTTTTCATCAAATTTGGGATGTTTTCAGTCATTATTTCTTTGAATATTTTTCTACTCCTTTTTCTCTCATCTTCTGATACTCTCATTACGTGTATTTTGACACACTTAATGGTACCTTACACTTCTCTGAAGCTGTTAATTTTTCTTTGTTATTTTTTCACTTTTTCTTCAGATTGTATACTCTTTAATGATGTCTTTAAGTTCAGATTATTTCTTCTGCTAGCTGAAAACAACTATCGAGCCCTTCTGAATTTTTTCATTTCAGTAATTGTATTCTTGAACTCCATAATTTCTATTTTTTAAAATAAATTGTTTTTATTGATATTCTTCACTTTGTGAGACACTATTATCAGATCTTCCTTTTTAAAAATTTTATTTCCTTTAGTTATTTGAACACATACATAATAGCTGCTTTGATGTTTTTGTCTGCTGAGTCCAACATCTGGGACCCCAAAAGGCAGTTTCTATTGTCTACTTTTTTTTTGTCTCCTTTTTATGGATAACACTTATCTATTACTTGGCATATCTAGTATTTTGCTGTTGTTGTTGAAAATGGACACTTGAGATAATATAGTGTAGCAAATCTAGATAATTCCCTCCCCTTCCTGGGGCTTGTCATTATTTATTTCATGACTTGACTGAACTAGTACAATGAAGTCTCTTCCCTTGCAGTATGCAGCCTCTGATGTTCTTCAGAGGGTGCAGCCTTGAGTATGCAAACAATCTCCTCCATAACTACAGATGACTGTAGTTTTAGTCAGGGTGTCTCTGGCTGTTACCTTCCCTGATCTCCCCATTAAGTTTCTGGCTGTTCTGCCTCTACTGATATCACATACAGCTGTTAGCCACCACTAATTGCCAGCTGTTTGCTCCACTGTTTCTGATAATACCCTTGGGCATAAATTGCTCCAGAGACTGACTGATCTAAATAATGTTGGGCCCCTTTGAAATGTTGTCAGTCTTTAAGTTTTGCTCTGACTGCAGGAGGTCTCTTTTTAACTATCTCTTTCCCTTGTTTTCTTTGTTTAACATCTAGGTGACCCACTGTTTTGCTTTTTGCTACCAGTATCATGGAGCTACCAGTCCCCTCTTAATCACTCATCACCAGGATCTTCATTGTTGTTGTTGCTGTTGTTGTTTTTACAATGAAGTTAGGTATGAACTTCTACATACTCTGTTCCAAGCAGTGATGTGGAAGAGCTGCAGAGCTTTCTGCTCCTAAGGTCTGAGGTGAACCTCTGTACCACGGTACTGAAGCTGAGGGTGGACCTGAAATTAGCTTCTCCTGGAAAGGCTTCTCTGTATCTGAGAATGGGGATCTGGAAAGGGAAGCAACCCCTAGTCTTCTAGGCTTGTCTATTCTGGTATGTAGCTTTGCTCCCTATGAGAGGTAGGGTGGTGGCAATCAGAGCCCAGTATTCTCAGCCCACCATGTCTGAGGTAGAGCTTTTATCCTATGAGTTGAGGTTAAGTGTGAAAAGGGAGCCCCAGTCATCTTAGCTGTGCCTGCCTAGAAAAAAGCTTTTGCAACATGGGGCTGGGGGAGATGAGAGATGACTACCTCTTGCCCCTTCTGGGGTAAAACTGTTGCCCTAGAATAAGAACTGGAGGGGCCAGCTATACTCACTCAGAATAGAACTTCTGTCACACTGAGTTAAGGTGGCAGAATGCTGGAGAGTGATCATGTGAGCAGGTCATGGTTTAAATGAAAGACTCTCATATTGTTCTTAGATTTAGTTGATCTTGAATATGTGTTGCCCTGCTTGCTGTATGTGCTTAGGACAATTTCTAGAGACTTTAAATGATTATTTCAAAAAAATTTTACCAGTTAAATGTGTTTCACTGGGGAGAGACTCTGCCATGCTCCTTACATAGCCATTTCAGAAGTCCCACCTCAAGATTAGATGTGTTCCACCTGAATATTTCATTTTATTTATTTATTTATTTTTGAGAAGGAGTCTTGCTCTGTCGCCCAGGTTGGAGTGCAGTGGCATGATCTCCGCTCACTGCAAGCTCCGCCTCCCGGGTTCATGCCATTCTTCTGCCTCAGCCTCCCAAGTAGCTGGGACTGCAGGCGGCTGCCACAATGCCCGGCTAATTTTTTGTATTTTTAGTAGAGATGAGGTTTCACCGTGTTAGCCAGGATGGTCTCGATCTCCTGACCTCGTGATCCGCCCGCCTCGGCCTCCAAAAGTGCTGGGATTACACGTGTGGGCCACCGCACCCGGCCTGAATATTTTATCTTATAATTTCTATCAACTGTTTTTTTAAAGTTTTAGTGTGCTTTTTATAAGACACACAAAATTAGAACATACAAATGAAGATAAGGAGGGAAGATTTAAAATGAATGAGGGGACATCAAACTAATATGATGGTTTAGCAAAACTGAGTATTACTCTGATGAGCTTCGTGGTATCTGAAGCATGGTGTTAACTGCTATCATTTATTCAGTGGCAGGCATGTATCAAGTGCTTTTCATATATTATGCTAAACTCTCCTAAGCACTCCACATGTTACACATGTTATATGATTTCCCTCCATATACATGAGGAAACTGATCCTTCAAGGTCACACACAGAAAGCAGAGAACTGGTATTGATTGGAATTCAGGTCTGTTGTACTCTAAGTCTGTATTCACTAAGCGCTCCATAAAAAGAAACATTTCAATTCATCTGCAGAACTATTTTTTTTTTCTTTTTTTTTTTTTTTGAGACGGAGTCTTGCTGTGTCGCCCAGGCTGGAGGGCAGTGGCGCAATCTCGGCTCACTGCAAGCTCTGCCTCCCGGGTTCACGCCATTCTCCTGCCTCAGCCTCCCGAGTAGCTGGGACTACAGGCGCCCGCCACTGCGCCCGGCTAATTTTTTCTATTTTTAGTAGAGACGGGGTTTCACCATGGTCTCGATCTCCTGACCTTGTGATCCGACCGCCTCGGCCTCCCAAAGTGCTGGGATTACAGGCGTGAGCCACCGCGCCCGGCCTGCAGAACTATTTTTCAAGAATTAGATTCTATAAGAAGTGTAGTAATATTAAATAGGTAACACGGTATAATACATTTTATCAGAAATATATACTTTTGCAAGGGCATTCCACTTGATTTGCTGACAGGAAAAAAATTAACTAGTTCTTGAGAATAGCTACACTGGAATTGCATAAATGTGTTACCAGCACACGTGTCATAAGCTAAAGTTTTAGTTTTGTGTTTTGATTTGGTTACCTTCGAGAAGATCATCTTCATCGATGCCTTTGACAATCTTTGATTTGTAGTCTCGGATAAACATGTATTTTAGCAATCTTCTAAGTTTTTTCTATTAAAAATATAAAATAAATAAATAAGAAAACCTATACATATATTCGTTTACTGATTAAAGACTACTATAACAAAATTTAATAAACTTGTACCTCATGATATCAGAGAAAATAAAGTAATCCTTAGCATACTGCTATGACATAAAAAGGTAGTCATCAAACACAAAGGCTAAAATACAAGTCTTTTCAAAAGCATTTTTCATTTACAAATATCCGGATGTTCCAGAATCACAATAGTCACACACTGCTTAATGATGGGGATCAAGAAATGCATCCTCACAAGACTTCATCATTTTGTGAACATCACAGAATACACTTACACAAACCTAGATGGAACAGTCTAATGTACACCTAGGCTACATGGTGCGGCCTATTGTTCATGGGCTACAAATCTGTATGCAAGGGTAAGAAAATGGTAAGTATTTGTATATCTCAATATAGAAAAATTAGTTAAAATACCATGTAAATGACAAAAAGCGATACATCTGTAGAGTGCATATACCATGAATGAAGCTTGTAGGATCTGAAGTTGCTCTGGTTGAGTCCATGAATGAGTGGCAAGTGAATTTGAGGGCCTAGGACATTACTGCATGCTATTGCAGACTTTATTTTTTAAAAAAGCTGTACACTTAGGCTACACTATATTTAAAATTTTTCTTTCTTCAATAATAAATGTGCCTTAGCTTCCTTACTGTAACTATTTTACCTTATAGACTTAATTTAAAAAATTTGACTCTTATAGTAATACTTAGCTTAAAACACAAACACCTTCTACAATTGTACAAAAACATTTTTCCTTTATATCCTTTTTCTATAAACTTTTTTCTACTTTTAAATTTCTTTTAGCTTTTTAAACTTCTTTGTTAAAAACTAAGATGTGTGTGTATGTACACACACACACACACACACACACACACACAAGCCTAGGCCTACAAAGGGTCAGGATTGTCAATATCACTGTCTTCTACCTCCACATCTTGTCCCACTGAAAGGTCTTCAAGGGCAGTAGCATGCATGGAACTGTCAGTTCCTTTGATAACTGCTTTTTTATTGGAATATCTCATGAAGGAACAACCTCAGGTGGTTTACAGTTAAGTGTTTTTTGCAAGTAGTACACTCTAAAATAATGATGAAGAGTATTATAAATACATAAACAAGTAACAGTCATTTATTATCTTTATCAAGTATTATGTACTATACATAATTTTATGTGCTAGGCTTTTATACCATCAGTAGTGTAGCAGGTATATACCAGCACCACCGCAAAGTTGAGTCATGCATTGCACTACAATGTTATTATGATACTCATGACATCACTAGATAATTGGAATTGTTCAGCTCCATTATAATCTTATGGGACTACTGCTGTTTGCAGCACATTGTTGAAAAAAAGTTCATCATGTGGTACCTGACTGTAATTGCTTTTTTTTTTTTTTTTGAGACGGAGTCTTGCTCTGCCGCCCAGGCTGGAGTGCGATGGTGCCATCTCGGCTCACTGCAAGCTCGGCCTCCCGGGTTCATGCCATTCTCCTGTCTCACCCTCCCAAGGAGCTGGGACTACAGGCACCCGCCACCATGCCCAGCTAATTTTTTGTATTTTTTTTTAGTAGAGACAGGGTTTCACCATGTTAGCCAGGATGGTCTCGATCTCCTGACCTCATGATCTGCCCATGTCAGCCTCCCAAAATGCTGGGATTACAGGCGTGAGCCACCAAACCCGACTTGCTTTTTAAAATCTTATAAAAAGTTTTAGGCTGTGTGTGGGGGCTCACACCTGAATTTCAGCACTTTGGGAGGCTGAGGCAGGTAAGTCATGAGGTCAGGAGATGCAGACCATTTTGGCCAACATGGTGAAACCCTGTCTCTACTAAAAATACAAAAATTAGCTGCATAGTGGCACGTGCCTGTAGCCCCAGCTACTCGGAGGCTGAGGCAGGAGAAACTCTTGAATCTGAGAGGCGGAGGTTGCAGTGAGCCGAGATGGTTCCACGGCACTCTAGCCTGGCGACAGAGCAAGACTCCGTCTCAAAAAATAAATAAATAAATAAAATAAACGAAGTTCTAATTTTTTTTGAAGACTGTATTATCAGTTTTCATACCAAGCTGACTGTACTTATGCTATAGAATTTGGTGTATACTCAAGATGAAATTTTATTTTAAAAAATTAACTTATAAATACCTAGACAGTGAGTGTATAAAAGCTGCTTTAAAAGTCAATAAATTCCTTTTTACTTTTTTTTATTCTCTGAGAATCTTATCTTTTTGTTAGAAGATTTGGTTTATGTATTATATTTATGGAAAACAATCTGTAAACCCGAAAAACGTAGTTTTATGAAATTCAAAGCTGATGAATGATAGGTGTTAATGGTGGCCTTCTTTAGATTTAGTAGACCATAATACTGCTTAATTTTAAAAGTAACTGATAATCCTTGTAGCTTGTTGTATGCTTACACTTAGAATGTATTATCACTCGTTCCTGACCTTCAGGTCTAAGATTTCTATTAATAGCTGAAAAATACTGCATTTTACAAAATTCTTTACATGTACATCATTTGATATCTTCAATACTTTCTTTGCATCTGGTGCCTTGTACCTAAGACTGCCTCACCCTAGGCAGAAACTTTCACTTCAAAAAATCCTACAGTCTCTCCATCTAATCATACAACCCTGACATTTCATGAGTCTTAAAATGCTTCTTCAACTAAATCATAAAGATACCCTATACCAAATCATAATTTTCTTAATAGTGAAGATTCTCCATTTTTTAATATTCTTCATATCATCTAAGAGTTGATTAACTGAAATGTAAAATATTAGAGAATATTTTCGACTACCTACTCATGAAAAATAATTATGACAAAATTAGATACACAAATATCAGCTTAAATATTTTAATACCAGATTTCAAAGAGTAAGAAAGGTAGGTCTTTGTTCAAAAACAGAAATTGTGGTATATATTTATCCCATTGAAAATTAATCTTAATTAATTTGCTTTTTTCAATAAGGTAGAGCTACAGACTAAACTTTGTATTTCAGGCTTAAAAATTTACTCTAGGAAAGTCTATAATCCTGGTAATGTTAATCTGTAAGAAGAGGAGAAAAATAAATATGCCATTCAGTTATATCCCACTTATGACAACAGAACGTAGAGTCAATATTTAGTGAGTGTCATGTAGCAATGAAAGTGTCTGTACAGATACATAAGGATAAGTGAGGTTTCGCTGTTAGCACAGTTTTCATATAAGTGCTTTTGTCCACATAATTAATATCAATTCTTTTGTAAACTCATTTTGTTGTGCAAACTATGAAGACTAAAACATCAGTTCAATAGTTATTATTTTAATTTGAAAGTTATATAACAAGGATATATAGTTTCCACATACAAGTTCAATTAAACACAACATCTGGATTTTAATACAATAAAATTATGTTATATTACCTTATCTTTGCGCATCAAAAACAGAAGATCTTCAGGAGTGATTACCCTTGCTCCCCGCAGTTGAGAAACTTCAGCAGCTTGCTGTAACTAACAATAATGAAAATTCAGAAATTTTTCTCAGTAATATAAATTATATATAGCACAGTCATGATGTCTCTAGAGAGAGAAATATACTGAGTTAAAAACCTTTGGGAATAATCCAGCAATCACATTACTGCTTTTAAGAGCAAAATGTCTTATGTTTTTAAGATATAAAACATGCAATTAAATTATGAGCCCACCTGTAACCAATACAATAAACAGAAATCTTTTATTTCTTTCATGCAAGAGAAAAATCATACACAGCTTCCAGAAATGCATTAATGCACCTGAAAATAATTTCATGAAATTTTATCCTTCATACTCATGTGAGCAATGGTTTCACTCAGTATCACTAGTTGAATAAGTATATTATTAATCTGAGCTCCCATGCTGCTCTGATTTGAAATAGGCCCATTCAGAACTTTAAAAGATCAACAAAAACAGTAGCTGTTTCTAATATCCAAAGGAAAAAAAATACGTTTAGTTTTGGCAAGTCTTCAGTGGGTAAAGGATTCAGTCCATAAATCATAATACTGGACTGCATTAATTTCTTTCCATACTAATCACATGCACACAAAAAGTTAACTGTATCTGGAATGTACAACACAAAACATTACTGCATGAAAAGTTAGATTACCCCTGAAATGTTCATCTAGCCCCTTATATCTACAAAGTCAAGAATTTTCAGGAATTCCTAAGTCCTAGAAACACAATCTTACTTAAAAATGACCTGGAAAATAAAAGAATGTGAAAGATGATAGTTCTATTTTTTGGCACAGGCAAACTCAATTTCTTATTTTGATTAGTTGGAAGTAACATAAAATATGCCCATCTGAAAAAAATAAAGATGCTACAGAAAACACTATAAAAATGTGTCTGTAACTTCTTCCAAATTTGATCAAATCATACTGATTGCACCAAACTAAGTCTATACAATATGAAATATTATAAAAATATTTACATATAAAAGCTGTTCCTGAATGCATACTTCTTTTAAAGGATAAACCTAACACATATTCTTGAGAACTAATCTTTAAAAATGGACACACTGTTATCTCAACAAATATATGAAATCGAATAGCATATTTGTGCTAAAGAAATTCTGCTTGAATGTTTAATCCATTTTGCTAAGTAAGCTTCAAACCTTCTCTAAATACACAGACTACAAAATAGACTATAAACTTGCTATGTGTCAGCTTTACCACTGAATTTCCTGGATACTGTGGTTGGTATATAAACACAATCCTATCTAAATATAGAAATTTAAATTTAACTGTGAACCATTTAAAAAGAAATGTTGGTGGGGGGAAGGTTTTTAAAAAGATGATGTTACCTACTCAGAAACTAACAGTTTTCAGCAAGCATGAACATATTTTTCCTAAAAATTGGAAGTGTGAGGGAAATATATGTACACATGCTTTTCAAATAAAAACATTTCTATCACAGTCTAAAATACAGGTAATCAGTGTTGAGAAGAATATGGGCTATATATACATTTGTCTGGAAGCATACAAAGTACATTTATTTTCTTAAATGAAGAATGTTGATCATTTGAAATCTGAAAAACACTATACAGACATATGTAATTTTACACACATTAAGAAAGGATCAGGAGAAATATGTATCCCTAAATAGTTTTCCCAATTAATCAACAGTTTATGCACACTACATATAAATAATCTCTATTCATAATATTCTCCAAAGTATCAGTTTACAAACATATTAACCAGGATAAGTATGAAAATAGAAAATAAAGACACAGAAGAGTTTGACACTTGGAATCACTGTTTTTTTTTTTTTTTTTTTTCAGAACCAATACACGACCACTGTAAGGATCTGGAATTTATATCATGGTTGTGCTGTCATATGTAGCAGGAAAAGCTTATCTTTGTTTTTTATTTACCTGATTTTCTAATTTATCTCAACCAACATAATATCCTTACTAGGACTAGTATTGCTACCACTCCCTAGTCTACCTTGGACCTCTGCCTAGTTAGTATGTCTCTGGAACTGAAAGTATCACTACGTTACCTTACCAAGGCCTGCCTATCCTGGATGTGTCCCAAATCCCAAAATTGCCTCTCCCAAACTTTGACCTCCTCTTCTCTAACAAGTGAAGACAGCAATCTTATTAGCTAATTAAAGTGACTCATACAAAAGTCATCTACTATCCCCATACCAAAATACTCAAGTCCTGCACTCAGTCCTATGGAACCTGTGTATCCAAAAATTCAGCCCTCCTTATAGAGGAGTTTCACATCTCAGGAATACTATTTTCCATCCACGTTTGGTTGAAAAAAATCCGCATATAAGTGGGCCCATGCAGTTCAAGTTCAAGTTGGTCAAGGGTCAACTGTGTTATTATGCACTGGTTTACTTCTCCTAAAAATTTTTGCCTACTACCAGAAAGACTAAAGAAAGTTTTCTTTAACAATACAAACTTTAAAAACAGGTGAGCGTTAAAAAGTGGGTAAAGGACAAGAAGAGATACTTTTCCAAAGACGACATAGATGTGGCCAACAAGTATACGAAAAAAAAGCTCAGTAACACTGATCATTAGAGAAATGCAAATCAAAAGCACAATGAGATACCATCTTACAGCAGTCAGAATGGCTATTACTAAAAAGTCAAAAAAATAACAGATACTGGCAAGGTTGTGGAGAAAAGGGAACACTTATACACTGTTAATGGGAGTGTAAATTAGTTCAACCATTGTGGAAAGCAGTCTGGCCATTCCTCAGAGCTAAAAGTAGAACTACCATTGGACCCAGCAATCCCATTACTGGGTATATACCCCAGGGGTTATAAATCATCCTACCATAAAGACACATGGACACAAATGTTCACTGTAGTACTATTCACAATGGCAAAGACATGGAATCAACTTAAATGCCCATCAATAACAGATGAAAGAAAATGTGGTACATATACATCATGGAATATTATGCAACTGTGAAAAAGAATGAGATCATGTCTTTTCTGGGAACATGGATGGAGTCGGAGGGTAACTAATGAGGAAACAGAAAACCAAATACTGCATGTTCTCACTTATAAGTGGGAGCTAAATGATGAGAACTTATGAACACAAAAAAGGAAAGACACTGGGGCCTACTTGAGGGTGGAAGGTGGGAGGAAGGAGAGGAGCAGAAAAGAAAACTCTTGGGTAGTGGGCTTAATTCCTGGGTGATGAAATAATCTGTGTAACAAACCCCTGTGACATGAGTTTACCTAGGTAACAAACCTTCACACATATCCCTGAACCTAAAATAAAAGTTAAAAACAAAACAAAACAAAAAATAGGTGAGCAACTGGGCAGGCAGTCCAATTCCACAGGTGCATTTAATGTGAAAACAATAGTAGAACTGGGAAACCAATATCACAAATTTTCCTCAAACCTTCAGTATTAATAGCTATAACAGTTCAGTTATAGCATTTCTCTTTTTTTCTGATTAATATTACTTCTATTTGTCAAAGTAAACAAAATATAATATGAACTTGTAACAACTTTGTTAGTAAAACATTCCCTAAAATATTAACACTCATGTTTACATTTTAAGTATAATACTTTATCAGGAGGTTGAGAATTAAAAGGTACACTATTACATGTCACCTCAAATATAACATCTTTGACCCTATAAATAAATCTGTTCTCAATTTCACATTGCTATCCATGACATTCATTTTCTTTCTCACTGCATTATATTTTCACCAATTTCTGTTTATTTTGTTGTTTCTTTTTATCTTCTCAGGGTCTTGAATGTACTATTTCCACCATATTTGTTATACTATAATCTCCCTTAAATATAATGTCTGAATTCTTGCTCTGAGATTTATGATAATTCCCTATTATCTAAATTCAATGTGGTCTTTAAAGCTTGAATGATGCACATATTTTCCCTGCCTTTCCACTAATTATATTTCTTGCTTCTCTCTCATATAATTCTACATTTAGGCTCCAATAATTTTGGTTCTTTTTTACCTTTGTGTACTTGTGATGGTTAACTTTGTGTGTCAATTTCACTGGACCATGGGGTACCTAGACATCTGGTCAAGCATTATTCTGGGAGTGACTATGAGGGTGTTTCTGGATGAGATTAACATTTCAATCAGTAGACTGAGTAGCAGACTGTCCTCCTTAATGTGGGTGGGCCCCATCCAATCAGTTAAAGACATGGATAGAACAGAAAAGGCTGAGTAAGAGGAAGCAACTTCTGTCTGAGTGCATAACCTGGGACCCTGGGCCTTTTCTGGCCTTTGGTCTCAGACTGAAACATCCATTTTTCTTGTGTTCTGAGGCTGCTGGCTTTCATACTGGAAATACACATCTACACATTGGCTTTCCTGGGTCTCCAGCTTGCCAAATGAAGATTTTGGGAATCCTCAGACTCCATAACTGCATAATTATAATTTATTATCCTTATAATAATACATAAATCTCTCTCACACACACAGGCATGCACACTCACACATACTGTTGAACTCTAATATAGTACTATATTCAAATTATGAGAAAATCTTGATTCTTTATAAGATGTGGCACTTTTTCTTTAAAATACAAGCTTTAGCCGGGTGCGGTGGCTCAAGCCTGTAATCCCAGCACTTTGGGAGGCCGAGGCAGGTGGATCACGAGGTCAGGAGATCAGGACCATCCTGGCTAACACGGTGAAACCCCGTCTCTACTAAAAAATACAAAAAAACTAGCCGGGCGAGGTGGCGGGCACCTGTAGTCCCAGCTACTCGGGAGGCTGAGGCAGGAGAATGGCATAAACCCGGGAGGCGGAGCTTGCAGTGAGCTGAGATCTGGCCACTGCACTCCAGCCTGGGCGACAGAGAGAGACTCCGTTTCAAAAAAAAAACAAGCTTTAAAATAATTTTGTCAGAAAAATAAGACCTATGATTATTTTCACACAACAGTGTTTCTCATCTAACATAGATAGAAGACTTAAATGCACAGTTTATATCTTAATTGCACTTGTTATCAAGTTTCATAACACTCCTGACTCCCA